TAAAAATAAGCGATTTAGAGATGCAGCTAGCAGCACTCGCTGGTTCACCTGGGAGGGGAACTGGTGCACCACACTGACAGGACACCATTTCCCGACCTTGCAAGGTAGCCAAGTCGCCCAGCCCCACTCCGTTTTCCTTGCTTAGTGTTTTCACAGGGATTGCAGGTTTCCCTTGGATTACRGCAGGAGGTGTTAAGTCCATTTGTCCAAGCACTCCTTATCTCCCAAGGCTCTCGAGTGAAATGACAGACACCATGTTCTTATCTCCCTCCCTCATTCCCRGGACAAGTTCTCCAAGGATTTCCTCTGCAGGCACGGCTTAGGTGTGCTTGTCCCCAAACCAGGCTGCTGCTGGGGGTCTGATCGCCCACCCGGGCCGCAGCTAAATGAGCAAGAGGAGGGTGAACCACAGCACATAGCAGGAGGCAGAGTGCAATGCCTGGGGTGAGGCATGGAGATGGACGGGAATGGGAAGCACGGGTAGCAAACCCAGTAAGGACATGAAAGGAGATGGCAGGGATGAGGTTTGTCCCATRTAGGTGCGAGAGGGCGGCAGGCCCCGCGTGAGTATTCTCAGGGCTGGCTACACACACAGCACCTGCAAACTTGGGTATAAACCATTGTGTTGCCTCTAGGGCTGAAAGACAAAAAAAMCCACAAGAAGTGCATTTGAGACCTTAACTTCCCAGCAAGCGCCAGGCACCCAARAGCACCAAAATAACAGGGCTCAGATATCCTTGGAGCAGAGAGAAGCTAGACTTCCTTACCAAACCGCTGGTGAGCCRGCAAAGCCCGGTGTTTTGGATGTGCTTTCAGCAAGGGGCGAGGTTGCCCTGCGAGGCTGCAGGCCCACGTGCAGGAGCAGACATGCAGCTGGAGCCACGTAGCACCTGCAATAAGCAGGGGCAAGGAGAAAGGCCAGCGGTGAGCAAACATCAGTGCTTAACCATGACAGGCACCATTGGGAGAACACGAGGAGCAAGGAGCTGCCTAGTGAAAGGAAGAGGTGATAGAGATAGCGTCTGAGGTGGGAGCAGAACTGAGCTCAGGGCAGAGGGTTTGGGGTACAAACTGCAAGTCTGTTAGCTTGGACTCTTCATCCATTTGTAATTGAAAGGACGCGATCACAGCAGAGCAGCAAACGTGCTGGGGTTTTCTCTACACAGCAAGTAAACGTACCGAAATGATCACACCAAGAACAAGGAGTTTCGCTTTGACTCTACACAAACAACTTCTAGGTAAAGAGTTGGAGTGAGCTGAGAAGTGAGAAAGTCTCTAGTGTCAGATAAGCTTTGCCTGAACACCTAATCTCTATTTATAAAAATATTTTTTCTTTTGTTTTTTTTTTTTGGTTAAGGAATTGGATTCCAAATTAAGGACAATGCAACACTTCCCTGAAGGAACTGCTGCCAGAGTTGAAAATAAATCCCAAGGTCAGGAAGGAGAACACTGAAAGGAGATCACTGAAAGGAGAGACTAGGACAAGCTGTGTTGAGAATAAAGGTGAGCAGGCTGCAGGAGGGCTGCAAACTCCCTGTCCTGGGGGTGCAGGTGAGCAAATCCACTAGTGATCCCAGAAAAACCAAGCACGAGTTCCCAAAATGAGCAGGTAGCACAGGCTTGGGAGGGATCGTGAGCATGGAGGAGAAGGCGTTCATCGTAGAGCACGCAGGAGAGGATCCCACCAAGCAGGGGACAGAAACAGAGAATTTAATGGGGGAATAAAAAAAAAGGCAGATTCGGATACTTGGAGACCAAGGACACTTGCTATCAACCAATGAAACAGATGCACTGAGGAATAAAAAGGCCTGGCCGCACCAGGGGATGAATGTGAAACAGCAGCRATGCTTCTGTGAGCAGAGAATGGCATGGTTGTAGGATGCCTCAGACAAGTTATTTTTAGCAGTGACAGAAGCGCTGCTGCCGTTGCGCGAGGCTGYGTGAGATTTCTTGCAGAATAACGTTGCCACGCGGCAGCCAGGAAGGATGAGCTGCCACCGCAGGAACCACTACCTGATGGAGACCTTTGAAAGGAGCTCGGGTTGCTTGTCCTGGCCAGAGGCTGAGGGAGGACAAGTGTTCTCGTGAAGAATGCCTGAAACTAAGGAAATATTAAATAAGAAATTCCTAAGAAAAAGCTACAAGTCATGGGATAGTGGCACAAGGTCACAAATAAGCTTAGATGAGACATTAGAGATTTCCATTCCTTCCAGGAATAAAACTCTAGACCAGCCTTCTAAGCAGACTGGTAGAGGAGAAAAACCAAGGTCATTTTAAGAGAGGATTCAATAAAACTCCTTCCAGTTTTACAGAAAAGCATCTGCAGATGGGCAGGACAGTCTGGATACAAGCCCGGGCCACAGAGCAGAGCTAAGGTGGGTTTGGGGAGACACTTCAACASCAGCCTTTGAGGTTTCTGAAGGGCACTATGAAAATGAAGAAATGCCCATTTCCCCCTTAATTTGGCTGTTAAAGCTAATGGAGTTTTCCTTCATCCAAAACACCAAAGATGAGTCCTGGGACTCATGTGCTGGTGCTCCCAACGYTACACCCCCGAGGCCAGCTCAAACACCAGGCTTAGAACTGGTGCCAGATTAGGGTCAGGAGGGAACTTTCCTGGACTGGCAGAAAAAAACTGCCAAAAAACTGCCCTTCCCTTTTTATTATTATTATTATTTGGGAGGGGGAACTTGCACTTCTCCAAGTTCACATCTATTTTCTAGATCGTGCATCAGTTTAACATGCYCTCTTCGCTCACAGGGCTGCAGAGCCCTGCGCGTCCCTTAATCTCGCCTGCCTGCTCCCTGTGACRTGGCACAGCCGCAGGTTTGCTTTTTCACATACGTGTGCTAGGAGGAAGGGGGAAGCGTTTGGGCTCCTGCACTGCAGGCGGAGGGGAGTAGGTGCAAACATTCATTGCACCTTAACCCACAGCTACAGGCGCCTGCGCCAGGGCTTGATGGGGAGGACTATCCCAACGGGAACACGGCAGCCACGTGCTCTGCAAAGGGAGTGCAGGGATGAACCCAGGCTCACAGACATGCACGCAAAGAGAGAAACGGGGCAGAAAGCCCAGCTGTGGCCTTGCAGCAAGCGGCCTGTGTGGTCCCAGGCCAGGCAGCCCGGGGCAGAGCTGCTGCTGGCGGCAGTGGAGGCTGAAGGACGCGGTGATGGGGAGGCTGCCCTACACACATGGAGTTTGTGTCCTGGGAGAAGCAGAAGCACCAGGAGATGCCCCTCAGGAGCTGAGGTGCCTGCATAGCCCAGCTCTGCCCTGCCTTGCAGGGTGGGCAGTAAACATCTCAATCAGGCTCAGCCAGGGCAAAGGATCAACTCAGGATGCCAGGGGCACAGACCGCTTCAACAACTTGGGATTTGCACCCCAACCTCCTCCAAAGARCACCTGAGAGCAGGGGGAAGCATCATGGGCCAGTGACGTGGCCTCCAGCAGGACTCACCTGTCAGTGCAGACGGTCAAGACCTGACTTGCTCCAAGGTCCCAGGCCCAGTCTCAGACTGGGCTGTCCACAGGCTGCTCCAGCTGGCCCAGGGCCCTCTCCAGACAGCCCACCAGCACCCACACGTTCGGAGCGAGCTGCCCGGCTCCTGCTGCCTCCTTGCAGCCCAGCCTCGGCCACCAGCTGGGCAACAGGAAAGCTCCTTTCTACAGCTCTCACACCCTCCCCAACAGACTTTAAATCAATAACCTCAGAACACAGGGCCAGGTTATTGCCAACGGAAACCATTAAACTGTAACACAGGCGGATAGAGCCAGCCTCTAACACTTGAAAGATTTATAGGGCACAACAGCAGGGTGTTAATTCCTCTGGCAACACAAATGCTTTCACACTGCTGGCCTCTCCTCACCCACGGGAGCGAGGCAAGCGCTCTGCGTGCAGCCGGGGCCCAGGAGCACAAGGACACAGCTGTGGGCACGGCGGTGCCAGCAACACGTGTGCCCGGGGTGACTCTGCGCCCGCGGGGCAGCTGAGGACACGGTTCAGGTCCGTACGGTAGCACAGCGCCGGGGKCCCTGCTCAAGTCGGGAYGTCCTGCAGGAGGGGCTGCRCCAGCCCACGCTCACCTCTGGCTGYCCTCGCTGCAGGAAAGGCTGCCAAGAAGCTCTCACAGGGGCCAGTGCAGCCGGGTGACGTGTCCCACGGGGAGGCAGCCGGGGGCTCCGCAGCTCCGCAGGCCAGTGAAGCCAGCGCCTTGCAGGACACCCCCTGGGGCAAAGGCCAGTGCCAGGCGGGACAGGGTGAGGGGAGCTCGCCCCAGCACGGGGCACCACGGGCTTCCCTGGGCTTGCAGCACTCGCCACGTGGACGCGAGTGGGGCAGCTGCCCRTGRGGGAGCAGGCAGGCTCTGCAGCTAYGTCCCACATGGGCTCCGGCCAGCACCTCAACCTCTGCTCCGCAAGGGCTGCTCGCTCCCACACTCCCCAACAGCCTCAGGGGCTCGAGCACCACACCAGTAGGATCACCAGTGGCAGCAAGGCTCAACAACCCCCCTCCCCAAGCTCCRGAAACAACCAAGGGCTCGGGACCCCATCCCTGTGCTGGGAAGCAGCTGCGGATGCACATCTTGCACTGCCGCGCTGTGGCCAGCGTGGGAGCTGCACGTGGCCCCTAAACACGGCAGAAGACCCGTGATCCAGGAGACTGTCAGACCCCTAGTCCTGCCCTTCTTCCCCACAAAACTCAACCCCAAGGACCGCAGTGCACCCAGGCAGCCTCTGCTCCCACCACCCCAACCCTGTCCGGGGCCACAGCCGAGGAAAGAGGCTCTCAGGCCCCAAGTCTGCACCAGGGAGAGGGGACACGAAGGAGGGAGACGAGGCAGTGCTGGCGTTTGGGCATCCACATTTATTACAGGGCTGCAGCCAGCCTGGGGCTGCTGCTTGCCTGGGCGCTTCCARTCAAAGGGAAGTGACCCATCTTTAAATATTGGTTATAAAACAAATTTCTTTTTTTCCTTTTTCTTTTTCTTAAAAACCCATCTCTTCATACTTCTTTTTTTGTCTTTTGTATTTCCATATAAAAGCGGGGGCGGGCGCTCCGCCATGCCTTCCGCTACCTCCGGAGGCTGCGCTGTGCCTGCCGCAGCAGCGTGTCGAAGTCCAGGGAGTCAAACTTACTTTTCACGGGAGCCGGGTCGAAATCCTCCCGATTCGAGTCTGCAAGACACGAGAAGAGGCTGCTTTGAGCACGGGGAGACCATCACACACCTCGGACAGTCACATGCCAAGCTGCTGGGTGAGAGCTGCCCTGGCCACTGTCACAAATGACTGGAGAGATGGGACTTTTGAGATCCATCCAACCTCCCTTCCACACAGGACTAACCTCAGCACTGGATGTGGCCTAGCCCAGCAAAGCCTGCCCCAAGGACCTCCCATATGGCAGCGGCCAGCACTGATCCCCTTTGCCTCTCATTCCCAGGCCAAATCTCACCCATCCTTGCAGATCTGCCCATCCCAGCAGCCCCCTGCACTCCCTAAGGCTTCTCCTTTTTCCTTGCAGGTCCCAAAGTGGATGCAGCACCCAGAGCAGCCTCCCTGGTGCCACACAGAGGGGATAACCATCCTTGATCCACTGGCTGCACTGGCTCCTCTCCCAGGAGGCGGCACGGTAATAGCAAGTGGACACAGAGGGCCTGGATGGCCACAGCTCAGATGCTCTCAATCCCTTGCCCTGCGCATCCGATCAGGAGCCAAGGGCTGCAGGAGGGAGCCGGGCACGCGGAGCGGCGCCCGCTGCGGCTCACCCAGGTCGGCGTAGTTCCTCCTGCAGAACTGGCGGCGGCCGCCGAAGCACAGGTCGAACGGCTGCTCGTCCGGGCGCCGCAGCTTGTGCCCGCTCTCGATGGCGGCAAAGGCCTCCTCGGCGTAGCGGTAGGTGACAAAGCCGTAGTTGTCCCTGGAAGCAGGCAAGCAGGGAGATGAGCAATCACACAGCAGCTTTGCCGCCTCTTGGCGTGCACCGCTGAGGCTTGGGAAAGGGCCAGAGGAGCCATCTGCGGGAAAGGGCCRCGCCACGGCCCCAGCTCTCACCCCTCGGAGCGGAAGTGCAGGGTGCACTCCTCGATGTCCCCGAACACGGAGAAGCGGTGCCGCAGCTCCGACCGTGTCATCCTGCTGGGGATCTTGCCAATGAAGACAACTCGCCGCTCCTCCTGCGGCAGGGATGGGGGTGCCGTGAGCCAGGGGGACCCCCTCTCACCAGGCCCAAGGACCAGCTGCCTGCAAGTCCTCCCTGGACAGATCCTCCTCCAGGCAGCACCCTCTGCCCCAYCGTCACCCATCACTCCAGGCCTCCCAGTAACGCTGGATCCCCACRGTCGCCCCCACAGCCCTCTGCAGCGATGGGGAGCCCAGGGAGCCCCACTTCCCAGCCMCACGTCCTGCACTCCACTCACTATTGCACGTTCCTTCTGGAGGATCCTCTGCCTTTGGTAATGGTCCTGTGCGTCGTAGCTGTATCTGGCAGGGTGGAAAGCAGACACATGAGGTGCAGGGTCACACCCCATCTGGAACCCCATCTCTGACTCTGTGGATGAGCAGTTTGGGCCCAGACTGGCACCCRAACTGTGCCAGGGCCTGACAGGGCTGGCACCCAGGGAGACACACGAAGCGGGTCCACCCCAGCTGGGGAGGAGACCAGAGAAGGTTCAAAGTGAGCTCCCAGCCATGCAGAGGGGCCCAGCCCAGRGCCCCACTCACCTTCTCCGCCTGTTACTCCTCCTGCGGGGAGAGGGGGAGCGGGACTGGCTGCGGGATGTGGACCGGGATGAGTAGGAGGATGATGACGATGAGGACGAGGACCTGTCCCGGGATCTGCCGCAGGAGCCACAGCTGGAGCGCGAGGAAGAGCTGGGGGAGCATCTTGAGCGGTACCTGGGGAAGGAGGGACTCAGCTCAGCACCCAGCCCTCATGGCACTGAGGACATGAAGCTGCAGGAAGCAGACAGACCTCCACGCTCCCTRCTCAGCCAGGGCCCACCGGGCTCCCCAGGGCAGACAGAGCTATGGAAACATCAGACTGAGTTTGCTGGGGCCAGCAACAGCAGCACGACACACTGCTCCACTTGGTTGAATACACCGCAGCCCACAGGGCCTGGGCTCACAGCTGGCACAGCCTTCAAAGAGCAAGGAGCAAGCCTGGGAAAACTGCCTGGCACAGGGATATGGCCTGGGRGGCAGGGACTGTTGTGCAGAGTCCCACAGCCCCATGGCACACAGCCCCACACGGCAGCACCAGCTTAGCCCAGGGCATGGTTCCAGGGCTCCCGAGCAAGGGGACATCACAGCTTGGCCTGGGCAAAAGGCCTGAACATGGCTACGTGGCTGTGCTGATCACTTTGCAGACAGGTCTCGGGCAAGCAGCTGTTATGGGAGGCCCCAGGAGGGAGCAGGGAAGGAGACCTGGTGCTTTCTATGTTCCTAAGCCGCACGCTGTGGCCTTGCTGGCTATCGGAAGCAGCGCAGCCTTCCTGGCACAGGGTTATGGGGAGCAGCAGCAAGCCCAGCCGCTGCACTGAGCTCCCGAAGGGGAGCACAGGGCCGTGGTCCTGCAGGCTGAGGACAAGCAGGATGGCACTGCCACCTACAACACAGGAGGCGGCCAGGGAGCCCTCACCAGCTCCAGTGCCCTTCATGCCAACAGGGACAGGCTGCGCARGAAGACATCCCGCGGGATCACCCAGACACACAAGGATACAGAAGGAAACCTGTCCCCGAGGGGCTGCTCTGCCCTGCCTTGCCCCCCAGCCCCTCTGCGGGGAGCACTGGGAAGCCCCAGGCACCGGTCAGGCCAGCGGGGCTTCTCCCTGCTTCGCTCCAGCACCTCCTGCCCCGACTGCTGCTCCTTCCAAATCCTACGCTTAGGGCTGCACAGCCCCAGAGCACAAGCACTGACACCTATGGTAGCACCCCAGAGAACAGAAAAAAAACCTCAAGGCTTCAAGACTCTGCTTGGGRACAGCTTTCCTGGCCCTCTGCCGGACACCTGGCTGTCCTGGCAGAGTGTCCCTGTCTGCACTGCGGGCTGGGCCTCGCTTATGAGAGACATCACTGGAAAAAGTGTCAAGTGCTGCTGCCACGAAGCAGGGGCTGTAATGTGTCATCTGGGCACCCTCCCAAAACACTCTGATGACCACACAGCTCTGCAAGACAGCAACGCCCAAAGACTGCATGGACACGCCACCACTTACCTTCTCCACCGCTTAGACGGCGGGGAGAACGACCTTGACCGGGACCGGGAGGATGAGGATGAAGACGAAGACGAGGACTCGCTAGCTCCATCYGAACTGGAGCTGAAGGAGCGGCTGGCACGGCTCCTGTGGGCCCTCCAGCTGCCAGTGGAGGGGCCGGGCGAGTCCCGGCCTCCGCGGTAGCAGCGCAGGGACCTCTTGGCAGCGGCGCGGCCGGGCTGGGCGCTGGCAGTCCGCACCTCCGCATCCCGGCACGGCGACGCGGCCGGAGACAGGAGCACCGAGGGCGGCGGGCTGCTGCGCCCRGCCACGGCCCGCCCGGGGACGCTAGTCCGATAATCCAGGGGGGCCAGGGGCTCCTGGCTGGGCGCCCCTTTGGCGGCGGGGGCTGGCGGGGCGGGCTCGGGCTGGTCCAGCGTCCGTTGGGTTAGGGAGGAGATGGGTTTGATGGTGATGTCCCGGTGGTGCTTGACGTTCCAGCGGGAGCCGCTCTCGGCCGGGGGCTGCGCGCCGGCGCCGCGCGCCGGGCCCGGCATGCAGTAGTCGTGGTCGCCCGCGCAGACGTGGCTGGGGGCCGGGGCGGGCGCCGTGCTCCTCTCCTGCGGCCTGCCCGGGGGCGGCTGTTGGGCTTTGGGGAGCTTGGTGCTCTTCTGGGGCCCCTCCTGGGGCGCGGAGCCGGGCGACTTGGCCTTGGCCAGCAGCGAGACGGCGGGCAAGGGCTTCCAGAGYTGGTGCGGGGGCGTCGCTGGTGGAGTGAGACCTGTGGAGCGGGGGGATCTCAGGAGTGGAGCCGGGGAAGCCACTTGCTGCAACCCCCCAGCTGGGGCTTCCAACCCAGCTCCCCTCATGCCCTGGGGGGCCCTCCAGGGAACCCCGACGTGGTGACGCTCCCGCGCGTTACCTGCCACGTTGGCCAGCTCGGAGGCCTGCAGGCTGTCGGGGGGCTTCTTGTCCTGCTGGCTCTCCGATCTGGGAACAGGAAAGGAGCTTTATTGTAAGCAGCAGCCAAAGGCCTGGCCTGTTGATACACCACAGGCAAAGGGACAGGCTTGCCAGGTCCCCCTGTGCCAGCTGGGGCACTGCTGAGGAGCCCATGGCATAGAGGCATCACAGGACATGCCGCACGAGCCCAAGCTGCCCCAGGCAGCAGGAATGCAGCAGGTCTACAGCAGCTCCAAGGCTGCAGCTCGGTATCCCCAACCTGCCCATCGCTGCCTTCCCACCCCACCACAGCCCCGTCACAGCCAGCTCCAGCCTCCAGCCCAGCAAGGAGCTGCAGCTCAGAGCAGCTTCACCCCAGGCCCTCCCAGGGCTGCGTGAGCCRACTGCGGGACCCAGAGCCATCCCGCCGCGCTGCCGAGCGCAGGGCTCAGCCTGCCAGAGCCTCTGCAGGGCTGCCGGCCAGGGCACCAGCTGCACAAACACCCGGAGCACGATGGCAGAAACATGGAGCGCTCCACACTCACCCAGAGCTTGCCGCCAGCCGCCTCTCCTCAGGGAGCTGCACGGGAGCCTCTTCTTTCTTAGCTGCAAGGACAGCACATGTGCGAGGGTGACGGGAGGCCCTGAGCACAGGGCAGGGGGAAGACACCCTGCACACAGGCACAGCCCCTCRCCCAGGCCCTGCAGGGGATGCTCCACAGTGCCCCAAGGCAGCTCCTGGAGGCAGCTCTTGAGTGTCCCCTTTCTTGTCAGGCTCTTTGCCACCCACCCCAGCCATCCCAGAGATCTGCAGCCACTTCCCAAGGCAGGAAGGAGATGAAGGCAGATCCCAGAGAGGCCCAAGGCTCCCAGGCARGGTAAGAGCTCCCAAAGCCACCCTGCTGCCCTGCCACTGCATGGCCACAGCAGGCAGCACAGACATGCCAGCGGTGCCAGCAGGGGACAGCGGGAACCCCAGGGGCTGGCACGCCGCATCCGCACCTTCAGACTTCTCAAACTGCTCCAGCAGGCTGCACAGGTCAGTGGCTTCGATRCCTGGGAGAGGAGAAGAACACGGCAAGTGAGGCGGGTCCATGCCTCCCGGCATCCAGGGACGCACAGACAAGGGAGCCCCATGCCACCGCGCGCCGGGGAGGGCCCTGAGGAGGAGCCCGCAGCAGGAGCCCAGCTCTGCACCTCCAGCAGCAGCAACAAGACAGTCTGGCAGCCCCGCAGCCCCAGGAGAAGCCAGTCTGGGTGTAAAAAACCCAGACATTCAACCCATAATCCCAGCAGGGTGCTGCACAGGGACTGCCAAAGGCACAGGCAGCTTTGCCACTCTCACCCCTGGATGTGCTGGGAACATTGGCTAAAAGCTTCCCCACTCCCCACAGCTGCCCAGGCTCTAAGGCTCCGTGCCCAGGAGCGGTGCCCGGCGCCCCGCTGCTCACCAATCTCGCTGATGAAAGCCTGCACGAGCTCCTGGCTGCTGTCGCCGGGCGGCACGAGGCTGACGAGCGGCTGGTGCCTCCAGGGCCGGCCGGGCGCCCTGCCGGGCAGGCTGCTCTCCCGCGCCGCTTTCGGCCCCGCCGCGGCCCTGGGGCTCGGTGGCTCCGGCTGCGCGGCCGCCCTGCTCTCCGGCTGCGCGGCCGCCTTGCTCTCCGGCTGCGCGGCCGCCTTGCTCTCCGGCTGCGCGGCCGCCTTGCTCTCCGGCTGCGCGGCCGCCTTGCTCTCCGGCTGCGCGGCCGCCCTGCTCTCCGGCTGCGCCTTCTCTGAAGCCGCCTTGCCCGGTGCTGCAGTCTCCACGGAAGGGTGGGTGACAGGAGAGTCTCCAGGTGCGGTGGCAGCAGCGGGGGACCCCTCGGCAGGGCTAGAGGTGGTGGCTGGGGGGGCCTTCGGGAGCTGGGTGGAGGCTGGAGCCGGGGGCTCCTCCAGGGGCTGGGTGGAGGCAGCCAGGGCGGCTGTAGCCGCAGGAGGGACCCTGCCGGGGGCAGCGGGGGCTGCGAGGGGCTGCGCGGGGGCCTTTGGGCCGGGGGTGTCCCCCGCCAGGCGCGCCTGCCTCCTGGGGTCGCACACCCGC